AAGATGTGTTGATCTACACATGATTTAGGAGGTTACCTAAGCCTTGGCTTGGTTGTGTTACAGGCTTGTCACACAGCATATTTACTATTATTCTATCCAGTATTGATTATCATGAAAAATATTTACCTTCCCTGTGTGAACAGAGCCTAAAATGTGTGTGCCCTGCTAAAAAATACATTACTGATAATTACAGTTGGTGAAAATCAATTATTTTTTCAGATTGCACAAACATAGCCAAACTATTTGAATATTACAGGCAAGTCAGGGCGAAACCTTGGGCAAGTTTCCTTACTCCACACGCCTAATAATAATCCCTCAAAAAAAAAAAATTGGTCATTTTCAATCTACGACTGTTTGTGGGACATTGGTGTGCGCAATTGGCTGCTGCGTTCGCCCACAAATATACAGTCAATTCACTTTACAGTGTGTTCTGTGAAGCGCTTTGGGACGTCCTCCTGACGTGAAAAGCGCTATATCAAATGCAAGGATTATTATTATTACGATGACATTTATTTCACTTGTCGGGCACAAAACTGAGACAAATCGACAATCGTAATAATCAGGCAAGAATCAGTCAGATGCAGCCAAGCTTCCTCTGCTATCTCAGTAAAAGCATGTCTCGTGGCACCAGTTAGTGAGTTGCTCTCACTTTGTTCACCTACAAAACACAGTGACTACACTTCACATTACTGTGAAGCGCTTTGAGACATACACCTGACATAAAAAGCTCTGAATTAAATGCAAGTGCACTTTTTAGCCCCACCCCCCCACCTTTAATTACCTTCAAGGAAAAAAGAGAAAAACAGTATTGCCAGTCCAGCATTCCTCATAAGAAAAACAACATATAATAATAATTCTTGCATTTGATATAGAGCCTTATCACATCTTTGAGACATCTCAAAGTACTTCACAGATTATACTGTAAAGTGAAATGATTGTATATTGTGTGGTCATTAAAAAACATTATTCAATCAGAAAAAAAATTGCACTAGCATTCAGACTTGCAAACAGCATTGCATGCACTCAATGTGCATGTCTAGAACCCTACCTTTCTGTTCCCCGCCCCCCATTCCCTGCTCATATCACTGGCCAAATGCCAAATTCTAGTGGTGTGTTGCACTAATTGGTTCAGCATAACACCACCGTAATATCCAAGTATTTTTTTATTCTGATCCTGTGTTGATATTGTATATGTAGCAATTAGAGTTAATAGACCAATTTCCTACTTTCACATTTGTACAGTTTAATTCAGTTCCTTTCTTAGTCAACTGTGCCAGTTAATGATTTCCATAATAAAAATGTAATTGAATGCGTCAAGGCCAGACAGTACTTCCTATAAATGTTTCATCTACCAAAACAAGTGATCTTAATCCTACATGAAATCTAAAATGAAAGGGCTACTGTCACCAGATTAGAGGATTCTATAGACAGGATCTGTTCCTGGAATAACAGTAACAGCCTGTACTGTGCAGCACAACAGCTGTAGTTTAATCTCCACCTTGTGGCAGTCTCATAGAATATTAAAGGAGTACAGAAGGAGGCCATTCGGCCTATCGTTCCTGTGCCAGCTCTTTGAAAGAACTATGGTACCACTCCCCCGCTCTTACCTCATAGCACTGTTTTTTTTCCTTCTCACATACAACTCCCTACTGAAAGCTGCACTCCAGATCATAAGAAGTCTATGGGTAAAAAAAATTCTCGTCTTCCCTCTGATTCTTTTTCAATCCCTTGAATTTCAACATAATGTTTAGCATTTAAACCCTGTGTAGTGCCCTAATAATCTTATTGTGCGTGGAGTGATACTGTCATGAGAAAAACAGGGGAGAAGTGAGTTATCTGATATAATCATTATCACATGGATCAGCTCATTATGGCAATGATTTTGTGCTTTTTTCGCAGATAGTTATCGAAAACTAATTTTAAAAGTTAATATTTTATATTAAAATAAATGTTTCACTAGAAATCCAAAAACAAAGGCTTCCATCAGATTTGTTAAAATTCAAGATTGCTCTAAATTAGTTCTACTGGAGTGAAGAGAAAGCATTCTCCAAAGGTTGGCGGGAGAGCACAGGTTCCAACCTGAAACCACTGAAGCAAAAAAACTGCAAAAAAAATCATGTGATAAAATGCAATTATTATCTGGCCTTGCGATAACAATCAGATCACATTTCCTCCTCCTTCCTCCTCCCACCCCACCCCCAACCAGTATTGTTAAATACCATAAGAGGCAAACTGTTCATTTGTCGAATTGCGCTTTAAAATATTAAGGCTATCTTCAGCAGAAATTTCTTCCTTCCAGGACAGAAAGTCCTGGTTATTGAACAAAGAAGCCAGAGAAAGAGGTGGCAGCAGAATAATGGAATGATGATTACCGGTTAAAAAGATGAGTTTGCTTTCTTTAATCATCTTCTTGTTACAATAACTAGCATTTATATATTAGGATGATGTCTCAAAGCACATAACACAACTGACTGAGAGCCTGAGCTGGGTTGGTGACTCGGCCTTCAGTCACCTTTTCCATTGATGGCAACTGAGATGGAGATAGGTGGCTAAAAGCACAATCAAAGAGACAGGACTTGAGGACATTTTTGAAGGCAAAGAGGGTGAGGCAAGATGGAGGGACTCTGGAGTGGAATTCCACACAGCAAGAGGACATGTCACATCTCACTCACTGATGGTAGTAGGGTGGAGCATATGGAGTCCTGTAGCTCAGTGGTTAGAGCACTCGCTTTGCAAGCAAGAGACCTGAGTTCAATTCCAGGCAGGGCGAAACCTTGGGCAAGTTTCCTTACTCCACACACCTAATAATAATCCCTCCAAAACCAAAAACAATAATAAAATTGGTCATTTTCAATCTACGACTGTTTGTGGGACATTGCTGTGCGCAATTGGCTGCCGCGTTCGCCCACAAATATACAGTCAATTCACTTTACAGTGTGTTCTGTGAAGCGCTTTGGGACGTCCTCTCAAATGCAAGGATTATTATTATGGAAGATATTAAGCAGACTCAAGGGAATATGGAGCAGTAAGGTCACAGAGGTAGGATGGGGTAAGGCATTTGACGAGACTGTTTAAGAGCATCTTGCAACAGCATTCTGGCTACAGGCCAGCCTGGCATAGTTGGTATTCTTGCCTGTGGGCTCAAACTTCATGTCTCACAAGTATAGACTGGCATGCGCTGTATTGTTGGAGGTGCTATCCTTCATGAGACGTTAAACCGAGATCCCGTCTGCCTGTTCAGGTCCTGTCCTAGCACAATTTGAAAATATATTTTCTCCTAGTATCCTTCCTAGCCAACAACCCCCAGATAAAACTGTGCATTCACTTTGTGAAATGTTCTCTTGATGTGAACGTTGCTTATTAAATGCAAGGATTAATTATTATTAATTTCATTATAATAACCTCCAATATAATCCCCATGTGACCACACCAATTTATGGCTTTAAAACTGCCTCACAAGTGGACAGTCAGAGACACAATGCTGCTTCTCATCCAAACAGAATGCCCATCAACATTTTGCCTTCAGTGTTATACATTCCCATCAACCTGTGACTTCACTACTCCATCGTATCACATTTCCAGATTTGGATTCAGCAAACCAACAGACAATTGCAAAAAGGAATTATAAAAACACAATTATTCATTCAGTGTCCATTAAATCTAGAACAAAAAATGGGCTCTGCAAATGTAAAAAAGTTTTGTTTTTTCCCCACATAGAGTGGTTCGGGTGACAGCTATAAGCCTGAGATGTTTCTGCTGAAAGTTACTCCAGCTTGTGCCTATTGTGTATGAAGTAGACAGATGGAAAGAGTGGTAATGTCTTTATTTGGTCTGTAGGAAGTTTCACCTTTTGCTGGTAGTGGGGGCAGAGGAAATTTACATTTGTGTGTCATTTGAAACTAATTCCTGCCATTGAAGATGCAGTGGTGGTGTTGGCTTTATTTCACTGCATAATGCAACCAAATGGTAGATATTAGAAGCAGGAACTCACACCCTTACAAACCACAGCAGAGCCTCCACACTCTTCAAGGGGAGTCCTGTGGCTCAGTGATTAGAGCACTCGCTTTGCAAGCGAGAGACCCGAGTTCAATTCCAGGCAGGGAGATACCTTGGGCAAGTTTCCTTACTCCACATACCTAATAATAATCCCTCCAAAAACCAAAAACAATAATAAATTGGTCATTTTCAATCTACGACTGTTTGTGGGATATTGCTGTGCGCAATTGGCTGCCGCGTTCGCCCACAAATATACAGTCAACTCATTTTACAGTGTGTTCTGTGAAACGCTTTGGGACGTCCTCCCGACGTGAAAAGCACTATATCAAATGCAAGGATTATTATTATCATTAAGGGAAGTGGGACTACACCAACGCCAGATGCAAAGTGATGTGTGGCATCACAAATACATATATAAATAAATACATATATATGTATATAAATATCGCAAATAGAAAAAAAAAGGACTTAAGTTTATATTCTACTCATTCTTAGGGCATTAAGAACTCAATGCAGAATCCTCTCTGCCCCCGGGGAGGGGGAGGGGGGCACTCTTCAGCGACATTTAGCACCTCTCTAGCACATTGTTTGAGCCCTTTTCACTGCCGTGAAAAACAGCCCCAAACGGAAACTCAAAAAATTAATGGTATCTATTTGCCATCACAGCGGCACCATTCACATTCACCGACAACATCTTTTGGAGATCTCCAACTATAACGGGAACTGGGAACCCTCCCCCACCCCCAAGACTTCTGCGAACCCAAACCAGGAGCACTGCACCTTTGCCACAGCTGTACCAGTGCGGATAAACAGCTCCACCCTCCCCCCCCTCCCTCCCTCCCTCCCTGGCGGGTATCCCGCGAGTCAAAAAGGACTCCACATTCCTCACGGGTTGTAATTATTGAGTGTCCCCTTTTTTTCAGGGAAAAGACCCGACTCCTTCAAATACGCTTTCAGAAGACGCCTCAAACATGAGAGCGGAGTTGCGGTTAACAGGCGATTACCTTCAGCGGGATCCGGATCTCCGGCTGTGGGCTGTGCGGGTCCCGCTGACTGGGGCTGTGCGGGTCCGGCGGACACGCAGACACTCAGCCCGATCAGAGACAGCAGCAAACACCGCCTCCCGCCCATGGTCCGCGGCTCCACACCGCACCGGGTCTGCAGGGAGGGAGGGAGGGTGAGAGAGCAGTCAGTCACAGCACCGGGAGGTCACACAGCGAACTGACCCCCTGGGGGGGGGCGGCACACGCACACACCACACACAGGGGGAGAGGACGCACACCCACACAGATACAGGGGGAGAGGACACACACACACACACAGACACAGGGGGAGAGGACACACACACACAAGGACACACACACATACACAGGGGAGAGGACACACACAGACACACACACAGGGGGAGAGGACACACACACACAGGGGGAGAGGACACACACCCACACAGACACAGGGAGAGAGGACACACACACACACACAGACACAGGGGGAGAGGACACACACACACACAGGGGAGAGGACACACACACAGACACAGGGGGAGAGGACACACACAGACACACACACAGGGGGAGAGGACACACACACACAGGGGGAGAGGACACACACCCACACAGACACAGGGAGAGAGGACACACACACACACAGACACAGGGGGAGAGGACACACACAGACACACACACAGGGGGAGAGGACACACACCCACACAGACACAGGGAGAGAGGACACACACACACACAGACACAGGGGGAGAGGACACACACACACACAGACACAGGGAGAGAGGACACACACACACACAGACACAGGAGAGAGGACACACACACACACACACACAGGGGAGAGGCACACACACACACACAGACACAGGGAGAGAGGACACACACACACACAGACACAGGGGGAGAGGACACACACCCACACAGACACAGGGAGAGAGGACACACACACACACAGACACAGGGAGAGAGGACACACACACACACACACACACAGGGAGAGAGGACACACACACACACACACACAGGGGGAGAGGACACACACACACACACAGACACAGGGAGAGAGGACACACACACACACACACACAGGGGGAGAGGACACACACACACACACAGACACAGGGAGAGAGGACACACACACACACACAGGGGGAGAGGACACACACACACACACAGACACAGGGGGAGAGGACACACACACACACACAGACACAGGGGGAGAGGACACACACACACACAGACACAGGGGGAGAGGACACACACCCACACAGACACAGGGAGAGAGGACACACACACACACAGACACAGGGAGAGAGGACACACACACACACACACACAGGGAGAGAGGACACACACACACACACACACAGGGGGAGAGGACACACACACACACACAGACACAGGGAGAGAGGACACACACACACACACACACAGGGGGAGAGGACACACACACACACACAGACACAGGGAGAGAGGACACACACACACACACAGGGGGAGAGGACACACACACACACACAGACACAGGGAGAGAGGACACACACACACACAGACACAGGGGGAGAGGACACACACACACACAGACACAGGGGGAGAGGACACACACACACACAGGCTGCACAGGGGGGGAGAACACACACAGACACACACACAGGGGGAGAGGGAGGGACACACACACACACAGGGGGAGAGGGTGACACACACACACACACACACACAGGCTGCACAGGGGGGGGAGAACACACACAGACACACACACACAGACTGCACAGGGGGAGAGGACACACAGACACTTACACACACAGACACAGAGCGCAGACACGGAACTACATGACATGGACCTGGTTAGTGAGCAGGAAGCCCGGGAGGCCCCGCCACAACTGACAGTCACAAGGAATGTGTGTGAGAGAGTGAGTGAGTTTGTGAGAGTGAGTGTGTGTGAGAGTGAGAGTGTGTGACAATGTGTGCGTGTGTGTGTGTGAGCCAGGGTGTGTGTGTATGTGAGCCAGGGTGTGTGTGTGTGTGTCTCTTTGACCGTGCCTTCAGCTCCCCTCTCGACTCTCTACCCCCTCCTCGCTCCCTCCCTTCCCTCCCCTCACCCTGACCATTTCCCCCCTCCTCGCTCCCTCCCTTCCCTCCCCTCACCCTGACCATTTCCCCCCTGCTCGGGTCCTGACCCAACTGTACAGCGCCTTGGGACGTCCTCCCGACGTGAAAGGCGCTCCATAAATGGAATCTTGTTGTTGTTGTTGAGAGCCAACGTGTGCGCGTGTGAGCCAGCGTGTGTGTGAGAGAGCCTGTGTGTGTGTGTGTGTGTGAGAGCCAGCGTGTGTATGTGTGGCTATGTGTGAGAGCCAGTGTGTGTATATATGTGTGTGTGTGAGCCTGTGTGTGTGTGTGAGCCTGTGTGTGTGAGAGCCAGTGTGTGTGTGTGTGAGCCAGTGTGTGTGTGTGTGAGCCAGTGTGTGTGTGTGTGTGTGTGTGAGAGTCAGTGTACGTGTGTGTGAGAGGGCCAGCGTGTGTGTGTGAGAACGCCAGTGTGTGCGTGTGTGAGCCTGCGTGTGTGTATGAGAGCCAGTGTGTGTGTGTGAGTCAATGTGTGTAAGAGCCAGTGTGTGTGTGTGAGCCAGTGTAAGTGTGAGAGCCAATGTGTGTGGGAGAGCCTGTGTGTGTGTGTGTGTGTGTGTGTGTGAGAGAGAGAGCCAGTGTGTGTGTTTGTGTGTGTGAGAGAGAGAGAGCCAGTGTGTGTGTGTGTGTGTGTGTGTGTGAGAGAGAGAGCCAGTGTGTGTGTTTGTGTGTGTGAGAGAGAGAGAGCCAGTGTGTGTGTTTGTGTGTGTGAGAGAGAGAGAGCCAGTGTGTGTGTGTGTGTGAGAGCCAGCGTGTGTGTGTGTGTGTGTGTGAGAGAGCCAGTGTGTGTGTGTGTGTGTGTGTGTGAGAGAGCCAGTGTGTGTGTGTGTGTGTGTGAGAGAGAGCCTGTGTGTGTGTGTGTGTGTGTGTGTGTGAGAGAGCCAGTGTGTGTGTGTGTGTGTGTGTGTGAGAGAGAGCCAGTGTGTGTGTGTGTGTGTGTGTGTGTGTGTGTGTGTGTGTGTGTGAGAGAGAGCCAGTGTGTGTGTTTGTGTGTGTGAGAGAGAGAGAGCCAGTGTGTGTGTGTGTG